AAATGTTTTTATTTCTCTTTTATTTTCAAAGTTCTGAAAATATCAATTTAAAGAGTTTCAAAAAATGTTTAATCAAAAGTTTTGAAAATATTACCCCTTTCACGGTTTTACAATTGAGACGAATAATAAAACTAGAGTTCATCGGATATCAAAGAATTAATTACAATGTTAATCCTTCAATAAATTATAGCTATTCGACAACTGCCAAGATCTAAGCTATCTTTGGGAGATAGTCAAGTAAGGAAATGATAAAAAGTCTCAGGTTATTGTGTTTGGTCAAAGGTTTGGCATTTGATACTCAAAGGTTTGGCATTTGATGCTCAAAGGTTTGATGGGATAGCCTGCATGCTCCTCTACTGTAAGTGTTCTTCGACTCCCAGTATTCGTGGTCACACTCGGATTGTGCGATGCCTTATCAAGGAATTTGTGTGATCGCCTCAGTTGCACAATTTTTATATTCGAGCCGCATTTTCAGGTTTTCAACTCAAACCCTCATTTGGTTTCAAGACGGTATTAAGGATGTACGTCTTGAACCCCCCTTTGTTATTTTTCTCTACCATGCATTAATTACATTGTTTTTTGCAAACAAAGATTAATCCTGATGGGCATGATGAAATCTGAAGATAGTCTCTTCTGTTTAAAAATCCATGTATGATTAGAAGGGACTTTTAAGGCACGTAATGTAGGCCAGGGTTCATGGTTATGAAAGAAAATGATAAATAGGCCCAAACAAGTGTTTCAGGGTGTTGAACCAATGATCAATTCATTCTGATGCCTTCAATCATGTCTTGCTCAATTTGAATCTGCTCATATGTGTTTCTCTGGATTTTCTCTGGATGTTCCATGATCTTCGAGTGAAGTGATTCAGAGATTCGAGAATGATTGTGTTTGATCAATCTCATAATTTGAAGCTTGATGTACCATTTGTCTTTAGGTAATCTTTGCATGTGCTTTTTTATCCCTTTTTCTTTTTTATTTTTGTTCTTTCTTTTTTTGTTTTCTTCTTTTTTGCTTCTTTTCTTTTTTGTTTTTGCTCTTTTTGTTCTGATTGAATCTTCGCACTTGGCATTTGGTTCACCTTTTGGTATCTCATCTGAATCAATGTCTTTGCTCATGTGAGCATATTTCTTCCACCTTGCCCCCTAGTGTGGAGGGTGATCCTTGGTTAGGGTTGAATCAGAAGAAAAATACTACAGGCTCAAAATGGGACACAAGGGGTATATTTTTTCTCCTGTTGTGAAGGGATAAAGAAAGAAAGCCGTTCATCATTTCATACATGTAAATCTTCACAGAAGAGGTATCCCTAGGGGGATAGATTTTCAAGATTAATTCTATTCACATGAAAATAGTGTAATTAATGTATGATAGAATTATTTCGAATGAATTCTTCTTTTTTCCCAGATGTCTCAATGTTCAGGCTCCCCGCGAGATGCCCCAAGTTGGTTCTTTAGAAGAATGCTCATGTTAAAATGAACAACTCAATGCCTTGGGTTTTAATGGTAAGAAAGGCTATTTTTGAGTCTAAAAGAGACAGTGGTGTGATCTTATTGACTCAAAGAAAGGTATGAGTGTATCAAAAAGATAAAGACAATGTTCAAGAATTTCAAAATGAGGTAATGTCAAAATTTTGTCTTTTGGTAATGACCACGAGTTGTTTTGGGCAAAGAATCAAGGTATTTTATTATGGGGTTTGAGACAAGGTAAGAAAGGTCTAATCTTGCCATATGTCAAAAATCTATAATTCTTGAAGAATTAAAAGAATCCTTAATTCATTTAATATTCGAAGAACTAAAGATTAAAATTTGTTCAATTGCTCCACTTTAGAAAGTAGCATAAATTCAATCCTTTAAAAGATTAAGTAAACATGAAAGATCAAAGACGTGTTCAAACAAAACAATCCTCTAAGTGCAAATGGTATATGCCATGCCCCCTTCGACAAGTGCCTTATAGTTTTTTTAGAGGAATGTTTGGGGTTTCTTATGTGGTAACAGCTAACAGCTTCAACATCATAGCCCTTAGGATATGGAGATTCTTTAGATCTTCATGGCAGGCTTTGTCCTACAATCAGCTGATCAGGCTCCCACTGTATTGTTTTCAGTTTTTTTTCTTTAAGGTTACAATCTTGCTTCCATGTGGTTAAATCCACTTCATCGAATCATCTAGGAAGAAATTTCATGTTATGAAAATGCTTAAAAATGTAGATGAAGATGAGAAAATGCAAGAATGCATGAAATGTTCGAGGCATTGATCCAAGAAATGTGCCTGTTATTATGAATAATCCTTATTGGGGACAAAAATGTTTTATCTTTTAAGAGACAAAAATATCCTGACAGCTTCTAACATGTTGACTAGTCTTCTGCTTTCGTCTTTCACCGGTTGAATAACCTGTTGAACCGCTCCAGCCTCTCTGGATGAACTGTGAAAATGTTGAGTTATTTTTCGTATTGGTCCAAGAAGTCTCGAATGATCGTATCTCGAGCACCTACTTTTGTTGAGCCTGTTCCCAACGAATTCGTCATTGGAGCCCTTAATTGATAGGAACTATGTGAAGTTCATTAATCTGTTTCTTGAATTCGCCAACAATGGTCTCCAATTTCAGCTATCATTTTGCCATTGTCGTCTTCAAAGGGACTTCCAAGATACATAACCTTCATCCTGCCCCTGCAACCTCTGCCAGTCAGTTCTTCAAAGACAAGCTTTCATTGTGCTTGATGTAGACCCGGTTCATTCTGAGTCTTTTATAATGCAGCAGAGTGATATACTCTTCAATTGTGGGCACCACGTCTTCTGGATTGAATGTGACACATAGTCGCCTTGTAGACTATCCTTTGTATTTTCATCTCTTGTATTACAACACCTTTGTTCATGGATTCAGATTATTCGAGTTTTAATAAACACGTTTTAGTGGATCAATACCTCTTTTAAATGATGCAAGTGATGAAAATAAAAGAAAAGAAAAGAAAGATGAAAAGAGTTAGTGAGGTGAAAAATAATAAAAAACGATCATGAAAATGAAAAATCCTACCCCACATGATATCTACCCCACATGCTTATTATTCCTACCCAGACATGATCTCTATCCCGCATACTAATCTCAAACAAATCCTAATCGCATAGTTGTCTAGTTCGCATGCTTTAAACAGAAAATAAGGCAGGAAATAAAATCAAAGCAGCCTAAGGTTTGGAATGAGGTTTTGGGGTGGGCTCTAATTCTCCATCATCTCCCGGTTTAGGTTCTAAAAAAATGGTATCCGAGTTCTCTTTGTTGGTGCCCCCTTGGGCTTACCAGACCCTTAGTCCTAAACCCATCACAGGCTTGTATGGACTAAGTTAAACTCGAGAGGAAACATTCCCTTATGCCCACACGAAGAATAAATTCACACGAAGGCATAAGGTATATGTATCTCGAAGGCTACTTGCTAGGCCCACACGGTGAATAAATTCACACGAAGGCGTCGCTTTCACCCCCACTTAAAAGGGTTCGGAGCTCAGGTATAGAGCATTTGGATGAAAAAGTTTGGAAAGCTGAAATCATTAGAAAACGGTCAGTCCAACTATTTACTCGGGAAAAAAAATATAACCATAAGTAAGTAATAAGGATCGAAAAGTTGCCTTAAAATTCAAACTTACCCTTTTCGTTAAAAAGACAACTGGAAATTACCTTAGCCTGACTAGCTTACCTGCGTCCCCAGCAGAGTCGCCAAGCTGTCGCAACCGTCTTTCGGTTGGGCCCCCGGAATTGGGCTTCGACTTAGGTAAATGGATTGGAGTCGCCACCGATCATTTATTTAAAACAAATGGGTTGATCGGATACCCTAGTTCTTACCTGATCTGCGTCTTACCAGAAATATGTCGGGCTCGGGAGTCGGTTACGGTCAAGGAAGGATTAGCACCCTTGAACCGCCCTTTCGGTACTACGTAATTTTCAGTTGTCTTAATTAAAAAAATTGTAATTTTAAATTAAAAGGTAAAAATAACGATCCAAAACTTACTTATGTTCGATTAAAAATGTACCCTTAAAGAGTTGAGAAACATGTTAGATATAAAAAATAAAATAAAATAAATAAATAAATTCAACCAAAATAAAAATAAATAAAATAAAATAAAAAAATAAAAAAATAAATAAAGCATAAAAAAATGATAGTAAATAATAGTATAAATATAAAATAAAAAATGTAATATATATAAATAAATAAAATACACATAAAGTAAATGAAGCAATAAATATAATATATATAATTATGATAAAAGGTAATATAAGTAAATAGATGTTAGAATGAAACACTAAAATACATATATGTAGTTATATGTACATAATATATATATACGAATAAAAAAGAAGAGGAGGAAACAAATAATAATATATAAAAAATATATAGATATAATTGTTAGTGAAAATAATAACAAATAAAATATAATATAATAGGTAAAAAATACGAAATCAATAAAAGGAATTAAACATGAAGGGATTAAATTGGAACAAAAAAAATCAGGGGTCAAATTTCGAAGTAATTGGGGGAATATTAAATACTTAAAAAAAATAAATATGCCTCGGGAGTAGATCTAGGTTCGAAACTTTGAAACCCCACCCCTTTTTGGTCATCGGCGCAACCCATGTTTTAGATTATTCGAACCAAATCTCAAGAAAAATAACGTGCACATGCAAAAAAAAATAAAAACAAATAAAAAAAAAGATGCTACCTTTTATTTCCTTTTCGAATCGTTTACAATAGCTTTGTCTTTGTATTTTTCGTGCTTTCCTCTGTGTTTTGTGCGTAAATCGTGTCATCTAATGGTGAGTTATAATGGCTATTTATAGTGCTTGTGGATCCTATCTTTAGGAATTTAAATCTTAGTAGAACTCTATCCTATTTTTAGGAGTTTGAATCCTAGCAAAATGTTATCCTATTTTTAGGAATTTGAATCCTAAAATTCTATCATATTTTTAGGAGTTTGAATCATAGCAGGACGAAAAATGTGTATTGACACTGAGTGCAATAAATATTAAAATTAACTTGAAATTTAAAAAAGGAGAAATTATAAAATAAAAAAAATAGACACACGAGATTAAAGGCATATCCTATTCTGCTAATTTATAAATAGCAAATATTATACATATACAGCTTGCAAAAGAAAAACAGTGAACGTGATCAGCCAATTAAATCACAACCATCCATTATTCGTCATCAAGGATTCAACGGTGCCTACCACGACTCTCATTCAGCCTATTGATCATGTAGAGGGCATTACTGGAGACCTTAGCCACATTTGTGATCTTCTTCTTCAAGTCCGATTTAACGTTTCCGTCCACCCCTTCAAACCCATCAAGACACGTGTCCTCATTCGTCAGCGCCGCACTCACCCATGTCTGCGCATTACTCATCTGAAACCCGAACGTCTCCCCTCTCAAGTGCTTCAACTCCTGTAGCGTCTTGCTCAACTCGTCCATCGTCTCGGATATCTGGTCCACGCAGTCACTCAGTGCAACTCGCTCCCTCTTGCTCTTCCCCGTCACCCTCGTCGTCAAGTAGGTCGACACTTTCCTGGCACGGGACAGGCTGACTTTGACGGCTGCTTGGGCCAAGTCACGTGGGGTGTCGGCTGGGCCAGAGTAGGAAGAAAGGGTCCTGAAGCAGAGGCTTGGATAGCTGGCGTGGACACACGATGAACGAATCAGATCATTCGATTCACCAGGCTTTGATGTGGCGGTGGCGGAGCTGGAGAGGAAAAAGATGATTGTTAGGAGAAAGAAAGGGATTTCCATTGTCAAGCAGTGAGTGTGCTTAGTTCAGGTTTGGTGCTTCGCTTTGACGGGGAGACGGAATTTATAGGGGGAGAGCGATGAGCCGATGACAAGCAATTATAATTGGCTTAATGACTATATTGCCCTCGAAAGTCATTCGGCTTTATTTATATAAAAGGCATAAGAGGTTTGTACTAAAAAAAAATAACGTGATACTCGTATTATTTTCTATTAATGTGATTCTTTAATTTTAAAAATAAGTTGAATATGGTCTTTTAATTAATATTTTTTGTCGTTGATCATTTTGGTGTTGATATAGTTGTTCAAGGTGTTGACGTGATAGTCCATAATGATTGATAACATGACAAATATGTTAAATTTATAACTCAAACATGACATATAGATTGTCATATCAGTACTATAAACTTCTACATCAACAACGTAACGATCAAACGACGAAAAATATTCTTTAAAATGTCACATTAGATTTATATTTTGGGTCAGATGATTACATTAAGAGAAAAAACAATACAAGTGTCACATTATTTTTTCTTTAAAAGTACACGAACCAAGTGATCTCCGTAGTAAATAAATTATTGTTATTCTTTGAGGACTCAAATTTAAAAAATATATATGCTATAAGTGTGAGTATTCATTATAAATTATCTTTAAACACATATATTATCTTATATTTACTTTAAATTAATAAAAAAAAATATACGATAACCGTACACATTTGCGTATGATGGGATGGACAGAAGTGGTAATTTGAGGATGAAACTTACGGAGTTGATGAAAAATTAGGAAGCAGCAGGAAGACGTCGGCAAATAATTAATTAGAGAGAGGGCATTGCATTCCAATGCTAGAAATTTATTGGCCTTTCCAACCAATGAAGAAAAAGGGTTTCAGATCTACTCCAACCCACTCGTATAATCCCAATCCAATACCTGTTTTGATAACTTCGTTATATAGTAAGGTGCCGTATAATATGGATGAGAGCAATGTTCGTATTGGATCCAACAATGCAACTGAAGCATTACTGTACCTCAGGGGTGCGACCGTCTTTAATAGTCTTCGGTTTATCTCTCATGATATTAACACAAAAGTAAGATTAACGGTAGAAAAATGTGAAGATGGATAAATTTTCACTCTGAAATTTAATTTTTTAAAAATAATTTTTTATTATATTAATTATATGCATACTAAGATTTTATTTATATTTACTTATAAAAAATCATGATATTATCATTATATCTACATATATATCCATCCTAAAAGAACAATTCTAATCCATAGGGCCGTACAAAAGAAAGGAATCATTCGACGTGATAAAACCTGCTAAAGATAAAGGACTCTCGGCCCCAAACATGTGGTGCACACAGAGTTGCAGGGGTGGCTCTGACCCACCACCACCACCGAACAAAACAAAAACCAGCTAGCTCCTCCAGGGAAAGAGTTCCTCTATATTTGTAAATTTTATAAAGTATAATTCAGTAGAAATATTTTTTAATAGGAATGAAATATGATTCATCAAAATATAAAACATTTTTTAACTTACATATTGTGGCGGATCTAAAAATATTTTTTAAGGTAGACACGCATACGTTAATAACATAAAATTTTTAAATTAGATGTCTACAAATAAAATTTAAGGGTGGTCATCGTTCGTAAAATAAGTAAGTAATCGATGAAAATTTAGATTTCAGGACGGACACGTATCTACCCTCACCAAACTCTAGCTCCGCCACTGCTTAATTATGATTTATTAATTGTTTATTTTACAGAATACTTTGTAATAAACTATGTAACCATTAATTTATCCCATCTCCCTCCAAAACTTGTGTTTGGACAATCTCTGGTTTATGTAGCTTCGAAATGGTTTGCGTCCATGTGAAGCTGAGTTGCAATCAGTGAGTCAGTACGACTGGGTAACTGGCAATGGTGGGGTTCATGTGAACGACACGACACAAAAAACTGAGTGGCGAGTGAGCCTTCCGTTCCATCTGAAACCTCACTTTTGTTAGTCCAGAGTTGGGACCCTAAACCTTTCGTTTCACCGAACTTTAAGTGTTTGCAATAAAAAAATAATTGGTGGCAGTGTTGTGGGTCATATTAGAACATCGTAAGATTAGGCTATAATTAGTACAATATTAGAGAACATGTTGGGACCATTGTCCATTGATTTTGTTCTATAACCTAGAACGGCGTGGGGGGCCAACTGCGGGGATTTCTATCTCGTTTTGCGATACTAATAACAGCCATATACTTTTGTCTTATATAGTTTTTTAGTATAGTGCTAATTGGTTTATATAACCATATTAGAGAACATCTCGGCAACTAGGCCCGCTTTCAAACCAAATGAACACGAATTAAAATATGTTTATGTTCGTTCGTTTAACTTTAATCAAAATAAACGAATAATTTTTTTATTCATGTTCGTTCATTTAAAATTTTACCTTCTTCGAGTTCGTTCATGTTCGTTCGTTAAAATGGTAAACTAACACAAACGAAAAAACATAAAATTAATTAGGTCTATATTTGAGAAGAGTTTTTTTATTTCCAAATAATTTTTAGGATTTATATTTTCTTTAATTGATTTTAGTAATTTTATATGAGTTTAAAATTAATTGGAATTTAAAAAATTAATGGGTTTAAGGTTAAAATTGATTAGGTCTTAATATTTCAAACGAGTATGAAAATTGGGCTGAATATAAACGAACAAACATAAATGAATATAAATGAACGAACATAAACAAACAGATAATTGAACGTTCACGAACGTAAATGAACGAATGAGCCCTTTATTCGTGTTCGTTCATTTAATTAAACGAACATAACATCTTGTTCATGTTGGTTCATTTAATAAATAAACAAACTTAAATGACCTTCCTGTGAAATGATTCACGAACGGTTCGTCGAACGTTCGGTTCATTTATAAGCTTATTGGTAACGGGACGAAGCCGATCAGTTTTCTAGGGTGCGTTTAATACTTAAACTATCAATTTTGGTCTGTTTTTAGTACCTAAACTTCTATTTTTTTTCAAAATCATACCTAAAGTTTAGTTTTTTGTTTCATTTTAGTACCCCACCGTTAAAAACTTTAGTTTTTGTTTCATTTTAGTATCCGTTCAAAATTTACGTTAAATTTTGGAAAAATAATAAAAGTTTAGGTACTAAAATGGATAAAAACTGATAGTTTAGATACTAAACGTGTTAAATTTTAACGGCGGTCTACTAAATGAAATGAAAATTAAACGTTAGGTATGCTTTTGAAAAAATTGAAAGTTTAGATACTAAAACGGAGCAAAACTGATAGTTTAGGTAGTAAATGCATAATTTACTCATTTTTTATAGCTAATTTGAATTTTAACCCAAATATTGTTTAGGATAAATAATATATTTCAATCTCTCAACTTTATTCTTACACTTGTTTTGGTCACTAAGTTTTAAATATTTAAACTACAAATCAAGAATCGGTTGCTAAATGATTTTGCATTGGTTTTGTTAATGGTTGTCCGAGAAATACAATTACACGTTTCCACAACCTTAAACTGAAAGTCATTAATCAAACGATTAAAGGGGGAAAACATTATTACCAAACTACAAATTTATTCTTAAGGATGAGCTGGACCTTCCTCTTCTACACGAATCATCCCATAACCGAACAACGTTGCCGTTCATCGCCGTCAAATCCTGATGACGGTACCACACTGTCCCTGTCTCCCCTTTCCTCATCCTCAACGCTCTCTCCCAACTCTCCCACCACTCCGTACTCTTCCCGTCACCGTCACTCCATTCCGTATATGTCGTTTCACCGTCGATATTGCCCTCTTCGTAATAAACAGTCAACCTGGGCTTCCCACTTTTTGTCGCCCCGCCATTGCAAACGAACCGCAAAACGCTCGTCCCCATAACGGAAGCTGGAGCTGAAACGGTCGGCTTTTCTTCAACTTCGGTAGTCGGTCGACCAATAACGGATGTCGACGGGCCCCGTTCGTGACTTTTAACGGGACACGAAGACAGCGACCCACGTCCATAGATTATCAACAACAGTGAAAATCCCAAAACTCAGGTAGTTAAATGCTAAAGCTTCGAGCCGAGAATCCAACAACTGTTTCATTTTGTTCAAGGAGTTTGTGATGGGAAGTTATGCGGACAACTTTAATATAACACTAAATGAAAGATATTATTAAAAATGTTATTATTTTTTAAAAAGTTCCGATAAAATAATTATTTAAAATATTATTTTTTATCTAAAATATTAATATTTTTTAATATTTATGATAAAGTATTTAATATTAATATTTTTTATAAAAAATAATATTTTATCAGATATATTAATAAATCTGGTAAAACGTTCAATAATAATATTTTTGATAAAAATAATAATATTATAAATAATATTTTACGAGACTGCCGGTTTGTGACAAGAGCAATCTGAAGCGCCTATAAAGGGTGAGGGATTAGGTGTAGGATAAGGCAATATGGGCCGTTGGATGGGTCAAGTTGAGGGTGGGGATGTTGATGAAGAATTCGAAATGCTGAGAATCGGAAGCGAAGATGCTAATATGCTTAGGTAGATGCCAATTAGATATGCCGAATTTTATGTTAATATTTTATGTGTGACAGGTGTTGGGTTATAATTGGTTGTAATCTTCAGCTCTCGGTGGTGATTATTTGGTGTTTTGCAGCAGCAGAATATACAAGGCTGACTGGCTGAGAGTTGAGAGCGAAAGAATGTGGAACGTCACTAAGGCACGTGGGAGCAGATAAGTGGTCCAATGAAAATCCATTACCCATGAATCGAAAAATTATTTCATAGGTCGACTCATTACGTTACCCTTAATTAATTACTAGTATTAATGCCAAAATTATTTGGCGGCAGTTTTTGTTCACACCAGAGCCGTAAATGTGCCATCCAAATCGTGAATTATTTGGTATTTCCTCGGTGATAAATACTAGATTCAAATAGAGTCGATTTAATTCGTGTTTGACTCTAATTTTTAACAAGTCAAAACGAATTATTTAATATTCGACTTAAAAAATTTACGATTTTTTTGAAAAAAATAATTATATACTAACTTTTTTATTTTAGAAAAATAAATTATTAATAACATTAACATTTATGTGTTTATTTTTGGAAAAAAATGAGTAGAAATTTTTCATGTACTTAAAGGTTTAAGTTTGAGTTTGAGCTTCAACCGATGTATGTCCAAGATTTTTTTTATTTCGAGCTTCAATTCATGATTTTGAGTTTGAGTTGAGCTTGAAAGTTTTAGGCTCACAAGTTTTTGAATCGAGTCGAGCTCAACAATACTCGAACTCGACTCGGCTCGTTTACAACCCTAGTTCACACAATTAAATTTAGGGTAAACTATGCATTTAGGTCATAAACTATCATTTTTTATTTGTTTTAGTATATAAACTTTCAATTTTTTCAAAACCCTACATGATATTTAGTTTTCATTTCATTTTAGTACCAGATGTTAAAAACTTAACACATTTAATACATAAAGTACCAATTTTGGTTCGTTTTAGTACCTAAACTTTCAATCTTTTTCAAAATTTAACGTTAAATTTTGAACAAGATACTAAAATTAAACAAAAACTAAAGTTTTTAACGTCGAGATACCAAGATGAAATAAAAACTAAACTTTAGGTATGGTTTTGAAGAAAAAAAAGTTTAATTACTAAAATAAACCAAAATTGATAATTTAAATACTAAACACTTAATTTACTCTCTTAAAATATAAGTGTTGTGTAGTTGCAATGGAAAATATATTAACTTCTAGTTTTCGACATTATATATTAGGTTAAACTCTAAAAATAGTCACACAATTAATATTTTTATTTGTTTTAGTACATTCATCATTATCACTTAAAAAGAAAAATTAGACATGAGACAATATATCAGGGTCGGCTCTGGGCTGGGGCAGGAGGGGTGCCCGCCCAGGGCCCATAATATTTTCCATAGTAATATCTAAGCTATGCATGTTAATATCACATAAATAAGGGTCAATTTCTTTTATTTCATCCCGGGCTAAAAAAATACCCAGAGCCGGTCCTGCAATATATTTTTTCTCTTTTATATTTTTACCTCTTATTTATTTTCGTGGTCGAAGCTTCTTCTTCAATGCCTGAATCTAAACTCATCACTTATCATCTTACTATCCATTTTCACATATTTTATAACGAATTTCGCAAATTGATTCTCAGTTATACGATGTTATCAAAGTTTTCTATCTGCCCTAAATGGAAAAGAGAACTTGCAAAAAAATATAATTAGAAGTAGCTATGGCCTATGGGGGAGAGAAGTTATAGAATTTGCTGCATTATGCTGAGAATCAATTTGCGAAATTCATATAATTAAGGGTCCATTTTAGTAAAAATAATATTTTTGTACAGTAACAATTATTTAGAAGTGGCTATGGGGGAGAGAAGTTCTAGAATTTTCGTTTCAAACCTTTGGCAAGCAACCACTAATCGGTTGTACGTTCCACGGTCGTTTTGGGGGAAAAGCATTGATATTCAAAAGTGGTGATATGAATGTACACTTGGACCGATCCCCTTCCACGCATTTGTGGACGTGGGATTGTATTTTGGCTGCGGCAGAAGCCACCCACCTGTAGAATGGAGGTCACAATCGGACCACATGTGAAATCAATTTTGTTCTAGTCAAAGTCTTAAATTTGTCTCTCCCAAAACTTGATACGCAAGAACTATGTAAACCTTAATTCGCGGGGAGAAGCCGCCTCCCATAGAGATTGTTAAAAGTTATTTTGTTAAAAGGTTATAAAATGACCATTAATTATAGGAAGTTATTTTGTTGAGTCTACTGACTATTAAAAGTTACAAAAGGATTATCCGACTATTCATTATGTTCCAAACTCATCATTTTTTCCTTAAAATTAACGGTTGTCTGGGCTTGATGTTAACATGTTGACTGAGATGTGATAGTCATTCGAGATTGTGAGATCATATTTTATCATATCTCAGTCAATAGATTATTGTCTAGTTCAGACGGCCATTGATTTTTTAACGGAAAATGATGAGTTTAGAATATAATGAATAATCGAATGATCATTTTGTAACTTTTAACAGTCAAATGACTCAATAAAACAACTCCATATAATCAGATGACCATTTTATAACTTTTAATAGTTGTAGGAGTAAATAAAACCATACTCTACAATCAGGGTACAATTTATGTGCTTCACCCAAATAGTGATTACATATTAGTTCAGATCTATTTGGAATCTCTATGGAAATCCAATATGAATGTATTACAACCATGGTATATTAATTATTATAATTTATGAATTCCATTAAATTAAATATAGTTAAAGGTTCCAATTACATTTTTCAATTTTAAATATTACTAATTTTTTCCATACTTAAAGTACGTTTTAAAATGCTCCATTCTAGATTCTCTCATTGCATGGCAATGTGATTCACCAAATATGATGAGCCCTATACTTTAAAAATGAACAAAAATACCTTTTAGTAAACTTTTTTTACGATAAAAAAATACATATTTTTTAAATAATTCGAGGTGATTACAATAAAGTATCTTTAGGGATATCAACATTCTCTTTAATCACTAAGGTCATGAGTTCAAGTGACATATCTTTTTAATCATATATAAGGGTTTTGTGGTTTTAACAACATTTTTTTCATTTAAAGCATATTTGGAAATGTTAAACCCTTATTTGAGTATATTCAAAAATAGAATACCCTTATTTAAATATTTTAGATCCATATGTGAGTAACCCTTAATTTTTTTTTTTGACAAATTCTAAATTTAATCATAATCCTATCTAGAGGAGAGGAAAATGGAGATAATAGGAGGAAAAAGGGGAGTACTCCTAGTAGGTATAGAACTCATAACCTAATGAAATACGAGGAGAAAAAGATGAATAACTTGATCACTCAATCAAATATACTTGCTCAAGTAATCCGTTTAAACTCAATCAAATATACTTACTCAAGTAATCCGTAAAAAGTTAAACCCTTATCATACGCACTAGATTCAGTGTATCTTAAAAAAAACCTCAAACCATAATTAAAAGAGCGATTTTAGTTATAAAGAAAAGATTGTTTTCTTCTAATCATTTGAATTCAAATAACTTTATCGGTAGTTGTATGTAAATTTAACCAGATTTAACATATTATATATATATATATACTATTTTGTAATAAAAAGTATTAAAGATTGTAATAAAATTAAATAGAAATATATGCTCAGTTTATGATGACAATAATAAGGGACCAATTCCTCATTTGCAATTGTAATAATATTTATATATACTAACGAAAAGAATGTCTGCGCTTTTTTCTTTCTATATGCCGAACTCTTACGTCAAATTCACGTGCTTTTGACAATGACCTCTCCCGTTCCATGCAACTATATATAACGTGCAAATGCTCAAAGCTTTCATCACCTTCAAACTCTCGAACCCTAAGCTTCATTTCTCTCCAAGAGACTCCAAATTTTCAATGGCTGATCTTCACCATGAAACCCCTCCTTTGATCATCTCCAAGATTGCTGTCATCGGAGCTGGTGTTAGTGGCATCGCAGCTGCTAAACAGCTATCTCACCACAACCCGGTCGTTTTCGAGGCATCGGATTCGATAGGCGGGGTGTGGAAATCCTGTGCTTATAACTCTACTAAACTACAATCTGCTCGTAAGGATTACGAGTTCTCGGATTTCCCATGGCCTAACAGAGAAGATCCAAGTTTCCCTACTCATGTTGAGATTGTGGATTACTTGGAGTCATATGCTAAACACTTTGATGTTTTGAAGTTCGTCGAGTTCAATTCAAAGGTGATGGAGCTCCGGTTTGTCGGTCACCGTGAATCAGTGGACCTTGCTGCAAATGCTGGGGGATACGTTAGTCCATTGCCAGGCCACCCGGTTTGGCAGATTGCAGTGAAAAGGAATAATTCCGAAAACCTTCAGGTTTGTTGCTTTTAATCACTAATCCAACAAATTAAAAAAGGGTTTATTGATGATATGATCCATGATTTGATGCTTTCTTATTGGACCTTAATTACTTCCAGTGGTATGCGTTTGAGTTTGTGGTTGTTTGCATTGGAAAATATGGGGATATACCCAGAATCCCAAATTTCCCAAACAACAAAGGACCTGAAGTGTTCCAAGGAAAGGTCCTTCATTCCCTTGATTACTGCAAGCTGGACAAGGATGCTGCTACTCAACTGCTCAAAGGGAAAAAAGTTGCAGTCATTGGCTACAAAAAATCAGCCATTGATCTTGCCGTAGAGTGTGCAGAAGCAAACCAAGGTAATTTATCTGTTAAAGGAGATGGTTAATATCAAAGTAATTGATTTATTATAGTTCCGAATATTCATTTAGCACTGTACATGTCTCTATCTTGATGATACTCGCTAACCAAGTGATAGATTAATTAATGATTTTCTTATAAGATAAAAGATGTAAATTTTGCATGGTTTTCCACGTTAGGAAGGTCGAGATTTGCATGGGTTTGATTTATTTATTTGTTCCAAATGATGATTTGAAGGGCCAGAAGGGCAGCCATGCACCATGGTGGTAAGGACACTTCACTGGACTGTTCCACATTATTGGGTGTGGGGTTTGCCTTTCTTCTTGTTCTACTCAACAAGATCTTCTCAATTCCTCCATGAAAGGCCTAACCAAGGCATTCTCAGGACCCTTCTCTGCTATCTCTTATCTCCCATGGTGAGTTTGACATTTCTTAGCGCCCTTAAAAGACAATACATATATTACACACACATGGTGTGCTATATAGCTGATCCTTGTATTTTTTTCCATTTTGCAGAGGCGAGGGGTTTCGAAGTTCGTCGAATCCTACTTGCTCTGGAAACTTCCATTACAGAAGTATGGGTTGAAACCAGGCCACCCATTTGAAGAAGACTATGCTTCATGTCAGATGGCCATCATGCCTGCAAATTTCTTCACTGAGGCTGATAAGGGAAACATTGTTTTCAAAAAATCATCGAATTGGTGGTTCTGGAAAGAAGGGATTGAGTTCGATGACAAAACTAAAATGAAGGCCGATGTTGTGATTCTCGCGACTGGTTATGATGGGAAGAAGAAACTCAAAACTATTTTACCAGACCCTTTCCGTAGTTTAATAGAATATCATCCTTCTGGAATCATTCCCCTTTATAGGTAAAAAACATAGTAAAAAAAGAGCTTAGTTTGAGAGTTTTCGAAGAGACTTTTCAGACTAATTGATGTTAATTACTGTTCTGGCAGGGGCACAATCCACCCATTGATACCGAACATGGCTTTTGTGGGTTATATTGAAAGTGTTGCGAACCTTCACACCTCGGAGCTTCGTAGCATGTGGCTAGCTCGATACGTGGATGAGAAGTTTAAGCTCCCGATTGTGGAAAACATGCTGGAACAGATATATAAGGAAATGGAGGTGTCGAGGAGGACAACCAGGTTCTACAAGAGGCACTGCATTTCGACGTTTAGCATCAATCACAGTGATGAAATCTGTGAAGAAATGGGATGGAATTCTTGGAGGAAGAGTAGCTGGTTTGCAGAAGCATTTAGCCCTTATGGCAGTCAGGATTATAGTCACCAAAACTAAAATGATCACAGTCACTTCTTTATCTTTATTAAAGTGCATCTCAGAAAAGAATCAGCTGATGCCGAAAAGGAAAATAATAAATGTTGGTAAGTGAAGCAGAACTAATCATCAATTCATCATAGAGTCAATTTCAATGTCCTTAAAAGGACTTTTAGGGGTTTCCTGTGTTTGTCATATCAATAGAAAGATGAAAATAAAATAAATGAATAAATATTCCGAGCATGCAGCGGAAATTCAAACTTGTTGCAATAATATATATATATTATTTTAGAGCAAGAGAGAGAGTGATTCTTGTTGATTCAATACAAATGAGAAGGTACAAAACTGAATGACCGCACTCTTTGTGATCATTTAACCAGGGTCAGGTGTTGTATTTTGTCTAATGCGGTTCTCGAACATACCCATCAACAGCAAAGTTTCGAGTGGCGGAAGGGATTGCTAAACGAAATCCATCCAGTTCAGGCCTTGCGATTATTTGACATCCTAGTCGAGACCTGAAAAGTTCAAGAATATGACAATCCATTTAGATTAAACTTCGACATACATACATACATACATGCATGTATATATTCTATGTGATGAATGAACTCACGTTTCTGTAAGACCAAAGGCCAGGTCCAACATGTCATTCTCCTCATCACTTGGATCTTCTAATTTATTGTAGTACTCCATATCCTAGCAAAAAAGTTGAATACTAAGTCCCTAATAGTTTGTTTGAAAGAAGATTATGAATTACTATGAATCAATCAACAGCATGATGATTGATTAGCATACCATCACTATGACATGGCATGTTGAGCAGGCAAGTGAGCCTTCACATGCTCCTGCAATGACGGCACAATCAGACATTATATTTTAGGAAAGGAACGTAAAGTAATCAATCAAGTAAATATATGTGTTACCAAAACGGTTTATTGGTATCACTAAAGAATAAGGAGATTTAAAATCACATTATGTTGTACTATAATCGGTAATGCATACTTCATGTGAACGAATTACTCCAATGAGGCAATTGTTAGATCCACGGAACGCTACAAAATTAATGGATCAACAATAGGTCATAAGTCTTGCCTTCGAGCTCTATATCATTTTGATGAGCTGCTTCCAACATTGACATTCCGATGGGCACTTTAATGGGGATTTCTTCTCCATCCTTTGAAACAAATGTGACAGATATCCTGAAAAATAAGATGATCTAACTTGAATAAATGGAGGGGGAAAACAGTTGTACATTAAAAACATATAGAACCATTAAGTGTTTAAAGAACAGGGTTGAGATGCTATCAAACTCCAAACTTTCATTGTCTGTGAATGAATTGCAATCTGAATCTTCCACCAAATAGAAGTTTAAAAGCCCCATTGTGCAGGGATGGAAAGTAGAGAAGAAAAATACACAAAATCTGATTAAAGACACATGCATACTTAGACACAAGTCCTCCTATTGAGGGTCTGGTGCTCTGGATGCCACCCTAACCCACATATCACCTGAGGCATTAATGGACACTGAAGGTTGAAGTTCACCTTGAAGTATGCTAAAATTTGTCTAAACGATATCAAGTCACCATGCTCACACAGTTTTATTTGAAAACTTCAGACGTTTCTTTCAGTTTGTCCCCTCCCTCAGAAGCATTGTTGGAAGTTGAGTTAGAAAAATCATGATGCTTTCGAAATATGGCCCCCTTAAAAGCTCTAGTTTCGGGCAGTAATTCAATCTGTCCAAAAAAATTGAAGAAAAGAGAAATAGATCATGGGAAAAGTTCAGTAATTATTCGCTATAAGTGAAACATTCTCTCTCTTTTTTTTACATATAAATAGTCAATACTGAAATCCATTTCTTATCCCATTCTGTAAAGTGCAACACCAACTATTTTTCTATCATTCTTCAATTTCTATACCCATACCAACCACAATTTTTTCACACTTCAATGAATTCTGGCAAGTACCATCACCTACAACCGATTAATGTTCGGATTTCGTCAAATGTCGGTCAGTACGCTTACCAGATTTCTCGCGTGCTTGTCATCCATGTTTTGGTGCTATATTCCTACCCCACTGACAAATCCACAAATTGTTACTATAACTAAAATTGATCAAATCATTCCATCCCCTCACTAAACAAATTTACTGCCACACTATTTCTTCTGTAGATATTATAAGAGAGCATTCTTTCCACATGAAATCCAATCTGCAAAATGTTGTCTACTAGCTCATCTAAAACCACAATTTACATGAACAACAAATATACCCAAAAGACTGTCCGCAGATTAATCGACCTAATTATAATGAGTGCAATGCTTGATTGTGTCATTAGCGAATTGATTAGTGCAGTCAATGCATTTCATCTCCTAAAAATCACAGGGTATCCACTATAGGGTAACATAATCATCTCTATCATTCATGATAATTAACATGGACAAGAACATATGAAAATCACTAGTTTCGCTTTGAACATTGTCGACAACAAACCAATACGAGAGTAAACAATAAATATATGTCCTAGGGATGTAGCTGGTGCTTGCCATACGTCAGAGTGAACCAATTCTAGAACACTTTTGACTCTAGAATTTGATGTGTTGAATTTCAACTGATGTTGCTTACTTGTTATGCAATGCTCACACAAAGTAAGTGATACATTTGTTAAGCCTGGAAGTAGTTTTTGCTCCACAAGGACTTTCATTCCTTGTTCTGACATGTGTTCAAGTTTTTGATGCCATAGCATTGCAGAATCTGAATTACATGAGGCAACAGAGGCTTCTGCTTCTACCAAAGTCTCTCCCTTCAGCATGTACATGTTTGCAGCTATTTTTTCTCCTTTCATCACCACAAGTGCTCCACGGAACACCTTCATGATTCATTTACGTGTTCAATCTTGCTTGCATTATTATCCAACAATCCGTAGGATAATAAATTTTTCTTCAGGCCTTTCACGTGCCGCATATCTCAAACAACTTTAATTGTTCCATCATGAATCTTCAATTTGATGGTTCTCACGCCAATGATCTCTAAGGCATGATAATTGCAACTATACACAGATCCTCCTGAGACAAGTTCATAATGATGAAACCATACTCTTCTTGAGGTCAAATGATATGTTGCTCCTGAATCAATGAGACATATATCAGCAAATCGTTTTCTATCTTCCATGGTGGTTGATGCTTCACAGCATAGAGCATCTTCATCATCTGAAGTGTTTGTTGTATTGCCTTGTGGATTGGAGTTTTTATTTAGACTTCAACAATCTTTCTTCAATTGACCCTTCTTTCCACAGTTGTAACATTTTAAATTCTTCTTACTCCTCGACTTCGATCTATCATGTTTTTGATTGCTGCTTTGGCCACGTTCTGTTGATCTCCCTCTCATCGTTGTCATCGTTGTCAACGCTTCTGCTTGTTGCAGATTTACTTGTTTGTCTTCCTTGTTCTTGCGCCAATTTTCTTCTTGTAGAACAACAGCTGCAACGTCATCGAAGACTAGACTAGTGACATTACTGTTTGTCAAGTTGATGATGAGTTGATCATACGAATCTGATAGACTTTGAAGTAGAAGTTCAGCACGTTCTTGTTCTCCTATTTTACAGCTTAAGAATGTAAGCTGAGAAAATAAAGTGTTCACTGTATTTAAGTGCTCCGTCACTGAAGTAGATTATGGCATACGGAGAGTGTACAATTTTCTCTTAAGGAAAATTTATTATGCAACGATGTGGCCTCGTACAGTTTGGTGAGATGGTCTCATATCTCCTTAACTGTCTTCTTCTCCTCGATGCTTGACAATATTTCATCTGTTAATGCTAGATGAAAGTTTGCCATAGCATTCCCGTCCATTTCAATCCATTTGTTGTCATATGTGAAATCCACCTGTCTTTCACTGATAGCTGCTAGACAACAATCTTTCCTCAGGATGACCTTCATCTTCAATTTCCACAGTGAGAAATTTCTACAATTGAATTTTTTAATATCAAATTTTGTTGTCATAGCTTCTATTACGGATAGCTCCCACTATTTCACTATCGTGAATAGTCTCTAGAACATTCAAAGAATGGGTAATACCTTCTTACTTTCTTATATTGGAGGATCCACCTTTTGGTGACAACCACAAAGACAATAAGTAGATATTACACACTCAAATCTGGCTCTGATTGCGAAAGACGGCTATCGGATGGAGCAAAATCGCAACTGATAATTTGAGAAAATAAAAATAAAGATAAAGAAAACACAAAATTTACGTGGAAAACCCCTAAATAATATAGGGTAAAAACCACGGGCAACGATAGAATAATTTCACTATGAGAAAATAAGAATTACAACTTCTCTCGATCTACCAAGGAGAAAACAATGATAATTCTCTTTTGATAAAAAAGAGAAAACAACTCTCAAGAAAACTCTCTAAATTCTCTAGTATTGGGAGAAAGCTATAATGATTTGGGATGATTTTGAAGCTAAATGAGCTAGGGTATTTATAGTTGAAGTTTAAGGGCTAATTTGTAAATACCCTAAATTACAATGACTAAAATTGAGATTTTACCATTGTTGAAAAATCAACAATTTCAGCTATATTTTTCCACACCACCGAAAGCCATCGAAATCCATGTGCACCAAAATGTTTTGCTTGATTTTTCAACATGTTTGGCCACCTTTGCTTGACTTTTCAACAATCTCCCACTTGAAGATTTGATTGGAACAATCATATCTTCACACCACTCTTTCTACCTTGTACATTTATGTTGCTTACGTCTCTGACAGGCCACAGGAGGATCGACACCAGGTAAATTTATCAGCGTTGATCGCCTTCATCATGAAATCTGCTATGTTGTCTTTAGTATGGATCTTCTGCATATCTACTGTTCCTTCTTCCACCTTTTCACGAATGAAATGGTATTGAACTCGTATGTGCTTTGTCCTTGAATGAAATGTTGGATTCCTTGCTAGATGCAAGGCGCTTTGACTATCACAAAACAAAGAGACATACTCTTGATTCTGCTTCTGTTGTGGACGTAGCCACAACTGACTGCAATTTTGAAACCCAACTTACAGCTCCACCAGCAACTTTGAACACATATCCTGTAGTAGATTTGCTTTTATCTAAATCACATGTATCGTCAGAATCTACATACCCATTGATTAGTAAGTTTGAACATCCGTAACATAATGCAATATTTGAGGTCCCTTTGATGTATCTTAGGATCCTCTTTATTGTATTCCAATGCTCTTTGCCTGGATTCGCCATGTACCGACTAACCACTCCCACTGCTTGTGCAATGTCTGGTTTTGTGCATATCATAGCGAACATTAAACTTCCCACTGCCGATGGATACGACACTCGAGACATCAACATCCTTTCTTCTTCACTGCTATAACTCATATTGGAGGATAATTTGAAGTTAATAGGAAGAGGGGTAGAAATTGGCTTACAATCTTGCATGTTGAATCGTGACAAGATCTTCTTCAAGTAATTCTTTTTTGAAAGTCAAATCTTCCTATTACTTCTGTCTCGGTGAATTTGCATCCCTAGAATCTTGTTTGCTAATCCCAAGTCCTTCATTTCAAATTCCCTAGCCAGTTGTGCCTTCAATTCGTCAATATGATATTTGTTGGGTCCTGCAACCAACATGTCATCCACATAAAACAGCAATATAACAAAATTGTTATCACCAGACCTCTTGAAATAAGCACAAGGGTCTGCATTAAGTCTGTTGTATCCAAGGCACATGATGAAGGAATCAAATCTCTTATACCAACACCTCGGCGCCTGCTTTAGACCGTATAGAGATTTGTTCAACCTGCAAACCAAGTTCTTTTTTTCGTCTTCTTTAAAACCTTCAGGTTGGAGCATGTAAATCTCTTCTTCAAGATTTCCATGAAAAAAAATTGTTTTAACATCTAGCTGCTCTAGATGTAAGTTCAATGTAGCACACATTGCCAAGACCACTCGAACTGTTGTTAGTCGAACCACAGGAGAAAAGCACTGTGTGCGTCAAGGAGATGAGATAATTTGAGATTTTAAGTCATCAAAATTTGATAAATAAGGTATGGCTAAATCATAATGTGTAAGTAATTTTGGACATAAAAATATAAGATTTATTTTTTTCTTAAACTTTGATTAATTTTTGAATCGGAAAATAATGTATCTTTAAACTCTTTCATTTAACAACAATAATGATATCAACCGAATTAAGACTCAAAAAATAAAATATATTAACTTCAAATATAATATTTTAGATTAATTACGATATTTAATTATAATATTATAGATCATGTAGTCTTTTAATTGATTTTAATTAGAAAATATATTTTGAATTTTTAATATTTTTGATCTTTTAAATTTAACACTCTCGATTTATACTTAATGTTTGAGTGATTTACGGCGAAGACCATTCAAGTTTAATATTCAACAAATTTAATTCTAGTTCATTACCTTGTGAATCAAATGAGATTAATCTGAAGTAAACTAATTGATCAAAGTAATATTTAATTAAAAACAAATAATATTTTATTATCAAAAAACAATATGTATTCAAACTTCGAGGATGATATTATTATAATGGAAATCAGTAATCACGATGATAATCGAGATTATGGAAAAGGAATATTCATATTAAAGGACAACCGTGTTTGGCCATTTAGAAAGGACTTGACATGCTTTCCGAACTAAATACAGATCAAGTAATTATGTTCAGAAATCGGGTTTCCTCCGACATTGTGAGCTGTAGGTTGGTTCTCAATGTAATTGAGGAGATACTTGAAAGTCTCGATCTCGCAAGGGAGAGTAAGGCCACCGCTGTGATCGTATCCAAATTCCTCCTCGGCTTTTTCCAGCAAAATCTTGAAAACAGGGTGGCTGAGGTAGCCGGTGGGGATGATGAATCGTCGGAGCTCAGGGCCGACGTACACGGCCAAGTATCCTTTGGGAACATCAGGCGCCGGTTCGGGGCTGTGGCAGCTCTCGTCGTCGGAATCGTTATGGGTTATATCTGTTTGGATTTTGCGGATTGATGGTGAGACGTCCCCATGGTTTCCTTTTGAATTATGGGTGTTTGGCCTTGACCCGAACGTCACGGTTTGCCACTTTTGAAGCATTCCTTTTAGTCTAACGATCTGCTTGATCCCGGTCGACTTCACACCACTTTGCGGGACCATCGTTGAATATCCGATCGCAATGGTGAAAAGAGAAGAAGCCCAGTGACTAAAATCAAATGAATAAGAAAATTGATTTTGAGATCGGTGAGCTGTCTAACATGCAAATTTAACCATTTACCTTAAACCATTGAAGAATTCCCAACATGATCAGCCATGAAACATCAGCACAAAATTGTCTTTATTTTTCACATTAATATTTGTCATTATGCAAAAGAAAATGGGAAAAGCTTGTTACCTGAATCTGAGGGAAGGAATCAGCAGAACGCCTTAAGGAATGAAAGCCACTGCGGCGGAGGAAATTGAATGAAAAAAACTACCACAAATGATGTCAAGAAAAACATCAAATGGGATACCCAGAAAAAAGTATAAATCCTTGTTACAAAATTAGCACAAGTTGGTGGATTTTATTTTTGGGTTTTTTTTTTAATTATTACTAGAAAATTTGTGTTGTTTCATTGATTGTCGATCCATAATTTTCTCTGGATTAAGCGATTATGTCGGAGGAATGCTAAAAAATAATAATTTTAGTAATTAACTAATAAAGTAAAAGTAAATGCTTCTCTTAATCTTTTGGCCAAGATCATTAATCTCTCATGTATATTACATAGTATATAATAAGAAAAAAAAAATGACATTGAGCAGCGATGCTCTACGATATTGCCATTACATAATGTACACGGGAATGCTTCGTTTGGTCTCCACGAGCAATCAACAAGCGTAGAACTCGACGAGTTCCTCCATCGACTCAACCCGAGGATCGTCATTTTCGAGCATCCAAAGCAAGTGTTCGAACAAGACAACCTCGCACGACACGTTGATGACATCGTCGTTTTTGCCGATCAACCGTCCCGTGAGTTCACGGAACAAAGGGGTTTCGATGATGTCGGAGCTAATAAGGTACCGCCTCCGGGACTTTCCCAACGTAGACAGGGTGGAGATTTGTCGATGAATACTCATTGTCGATATCCGAAGCCGCCACTACCGAGCTCGATGTAGGGCGGCTTTGCTTGTTGTTGAAGGAGTTTAGCTTTTTGAGAACTGACTTGAGCTTCGTTAGCTTGTCGCTGCCTTCGCCATTGCCCCTTGAATATTTGAGGATTTGAAAAGTTTTTTTTTTTTTTTTACTGTGAAGTGTGAAGGCCGAGAGAGAAGATGTAACCGGTTGCGAGCAAAGGAGGAAGGTTCGTCGGATTATAAAGGAGTTATAGAATGGCGAAATCATCTGAATGTGCTTAAGCAGTTTAGCGATATCATTGCGAGATTATGTGCGACACATAGCATGTGATTAGCATTATCAAACTACTAATGATCAATGTTAATTCATTTTCAAGGAATGCATGTCTTTTATACATACTTGCGTATATGTTCCTAAACATTGAATTCTTATCGTATTTTCGTATCAATTTAACCCATAAATTATTTTATTGCATCATTCTATATCATTCCTCTAACTTAAAACCCTAAATTATAAATCATAAGTTAGTATTTGAGGTTTATGGTTTAAAGGCAAAGACGAAGCCACTAAGGGCTTGGGAGGGGCTGTGGCAAGGGGTGAGTGTTTGATCGAGTCGAGTCGAGTCAAAAAATTTCGAGTTATTCGAGTTGACGAGTCCTATTTTATAACTCGGATTTGATTTGAATTTTTTCGAGGTGAGTCGGATTTATAAAATTCGAGTCAAGTAGAGTCAAAACAAATTTTTGAGTTTCTATAAGGTCAAGGCGTTCGTTAAGGACGCGGGTTTTTGTGGGTTTTTTCCGGTTGTTATGAATCCTAGAGGTTGCGCTAACCAGCCACTCACCACTCCGCGGTAAGCCATTGAGTTCTGAAAGTGAATTTTGTTCATTTTAGTATTGTTTCATTACTTCTTTTGCTTGTTTGCATTTGTTTAAAATACTTGTAACATGTTTGAAGTAAATGGGGAGTATTTACTTGGAATCATTTCTATTGACAGAATCTCAGCTAGGCTAATCAAAATAATTATCTATTATATGCTGGGTGTTTTGTATTTCCCTGCAAATTTCTTGAAAAGCCGTCTGAAACCAAGGCTACTTAACGACTTCATATATGGAGGTTGTTCACAGCTGCTGACAGTGATGATATCTCCACAGCTACACAGTTCATCTATAAGGCAAGACCATGGAACACATTGATGGGTGTTGGCTGGGGATATGGTGCAAACATGTTGACAAAATGCTTGGCTGAAGTTGGTGAGAAAACACCTTTGACAGCTACGACTTGCATAGACGATCCTTTTGATTTGGAAGAGGCCACACGATTGACTCCTTATCACATTGCTTTAGATGAAAAACTCACTGGTGGATTTATAGAGATATTCTACGATCTAATAAGGTTGGTTATTGCTTAAAAAATTGTATCTCTCCACTCAAAGTCACTCAAAGTCACCAGCCTACTTCTCTGTTCTTGTTCTTCATATAGAGCTACAGTAACTTGGTGCCATCATCTTACTATTGAGGTAATGTCATCTTCTCTTTTCACAATTATGGTCCTTCACTTATTTGGATTTTGAGGCCCGAAATTGTTAAGTCCTACATGATTTACTTAATATTTCATGATAAGAATCATAAGTTGTTTGTTTCCATTGCCAACTATATCCTGGTTATTGCAAGTTGTACTAACCAGGCTGGAGTGACATGTTCTGTAGCTTATGTCATCAAACTTGATAAAGTTTCCCCATATATATTTTTATTTATGATTTAATGATTAATTAATTAAAATGAAAATTGATTAAAATTTTAATAAATGGTTTAAAATCTTAATATTTAGCAAATAAAATAAGAATTAGAAAAAATTGGATTACGAAATTTATGATTTATTTTAATTTTTACTGACGGTCTCCACGTGGTTGGTAAACGATATGGCATCGCGATTATTCAAATAAAAACAAAATAAAGAGAAGATTAAAATGGAAAGGACATACTTTCGATTGAAAACGCTATATTAAAACAATGCCGGCGAAGAAGAAGAAGTACAAAATGAAATACAAAAGGGCCTTTTCTTTTCCCTTATCCGATTCAAAAGCGAAAACAACAAATTATTATTCTCCAGAAAAGAGGCCCATCGCTGTTCATCACCCTCAGTTTACTCCTCTGCCAAAGGAACTGATTCAGCCTATAACAATTACAAAACCAGTAGCGTTATAATTAAAACCGGAGAGACCTTGAAGAAACGAGTGAAAGAGCGAACCGGAGTGAGAAAATTACCAGTTTGCGGTACTTGAGAGCATAGAACATCTCAAGGTAACGGCGGCTCTCGCGGCGTTCGAGGTTGGAGACATGCTTCCAGAATCCGTACACTCCGGTGAGTGTCAATAGTCTCTCGGAGTAGATCTTCCATGTATATCTGATTTCCAAACCATTACAACAATTTGAATTTCGTTAGAACAAAGCAGCAGCATAGAACGTTGACGCAAATATGAAAAAGTAGTACAAGATTGCCGAGAGCTTACTTCTCCTCAATACGTTGCAATCCTCCTTGTGAGATCTTGTCCCAGTGAGATGGATCCACCTTACACTTCTCGAAGAAATCGACAAGTATCTCGGCAGCTTGATATCCGTGGTAAGGATCGATGTTGAAACCGGATTTGCCGTGGACAATAATCTCAGCCGGTCCACCGTTGCAAGTCGCGAACGTCGGCAGACCACAAGTCATTGCCTCCACGACTGTTAATCCGAAAGCTTCGTACAATGCGGGTTGTACGAATGCGCCTTTGGTGTCGCAGATGTATCGGTAAAGTTCTCCATTGCGGATTCTGTTCATTTGGGATGATATCCATCTGAATTGGCCGTTCAAGTTGTACTTTTCGATCAGCTCGAACATCTTCTTCATTTCGGCTTTCTCCTCCAAATCTTTCGATTCCTTTCGCCTGTCTCCACCTACAACTACAAGGTTAACCAGCTCGCGCAGCTTTGCGTTCTTGCCATACCACTCGACGAGCCCGGTTAAATTCTTGACACGATCCAGCCTCGCCATTGTGAACAGAATTGGCTTGTTGTGGTCATTGAGCACACATCTGTCGGACAATCATGGAGAAATTGTTAGATCGGACAACACCTGCTTTAGTAATCGGTTTTGCTAAAGGAAAACTTGCACTTACAAGTGTTCTTCATTCTCGACTTTGCTGTAAAGAAGGTCTTCAATCTCGGGATGGAAATGCTTCAACCTCCTCTTCTCCTCGGTGTAAGGGAAGTATATCTCCATATCAGCACCGGGGGACACAATGTTGAATTTGGGATCGAACACATCGATACCATGTACGACACGGTAGAGACCAGGAAGAGTGAAAGCGGTGTGGCTCTCGTACTGACCAACAGTGTCCTTGCTGGAAATCATTAGAGAATTATATCGAGTTAATGATCTATATCGGCAGAGTTGGCGATGGATTTCAAGAAAAATATTAGTAGATTAAATACTGAGGACACAAATCATCTATATATGTATATACCTTCCTGCAATTTCCTGGAAAGTACTGGTGATGATGAAATCTGTATGGTTCATGGCAAAAAGATCAGCTGTAAATTGGCAGGAGAAATGGTATTTGTCTTCAAGCTTCTTCCAGTAGATATCTGAATCTGGATATTTTGTCTTCTCCAAAGCATGGGCAATGGTACACTATACAAGGGTGAACAACCAAGTCATTTTACCGAAATACATCAAAATATGAGATCGTCATACAAGATCCGAGCGAATTAGTTTCTCACAAACCTGTGTGACACCCAATTTATGTGCAAGCAAGGAGGCGACTATATTGCCATCACTGTAGTTTCCGATGATCAGATCTGGCTTGCCTTGCAACTCTTTGGAAATTTCATGAGCAACATCCTATGAAACAAACAAATTTACTAGTAAATACAACAGATGTGATCTACCAATGAATATAAGAAGATCAATGGTTCATATGGTTCACCTCGGTGTAAGTTTCCAAATATGGCCAGACTTCGAATCTCGAGATCCACTTACGCACAATTCCCTTCTCTGTTCTAAAAGGTACTCGAAGAATATCCGAGTACTCTGTTCCGTATACCTTCTCAAGTCGTTGGCCACAAGTTGTTCCGACAGCATCAGGAAGAAGTCTAGTAATCTGAAAAAGAACATAGGCAAATAAGCACACAGAATAGCCAAAATCACATGCCGAAGAAAGCTGAAACAAAGCAGTAATCAAGAAATCTCACAATGAGGATACGAGGGGTGATGTTGAGTCCTTGCTGCTTGATACGGAGGAGCATCTCATTCTCTAAAGCTCGGACTTGATCCAAGATATAAACAACCTGGCCACCGGTGTCGGGGTACCCCAAAACATTGTCTTGAGCAAAGTATCCGTGGGG